CAGCAAGTGTATCCAGCCGAACGTGTTCAACGTCTTTTGGACCCCAACCAGGGAGCCGTGACACTCCAACCGAGGACAGCTCAGAAGTGAGGGCCTTCATTCCCCTGGACAAAGTCATCGCTTGGCCACTCCTTATGTTCTCCCATCCACACCCCCGGCGCGCAAACAACGCACGTAGTGGAAGCCGGTGGGCTGGCATGCGCAACACGTGGCCCAGCCATCGGAGCGTGGTGCGTGAAATGACGGTGATGAGCGGTTCAGATTCTTTTCCTGTGCCGTAAACAAGTCGTCGAACACACTCGTTACTCACGCGGTGTTCCCAACAGATATGAGCCAAACTGCGAAGGCAACGATGATCGAACGTAACTAGCCTCTTCATCTCCGCCGACCTAAGGGGTCAGGTTTCGCAACCGTACAGTAAGGCCGAACGTGCTGCTGCACTGTACACTCTACCCTTCAGGGCGAGAGTGATGTCGCGTCGCCACCATCAGTGGCGAAGGCTAGCGAAAGCACTTCGAGCTTTTGATATACCGTTCGTGATCTCATCTTCAATCCCAAGGGCGCTGATAAAACTTCTCAGGTAATTGAATTTCTGAATGACTTCAAAGCAGATTCTTACCAAGGGTCAGCACAGGAAGCTATCCCTGTCAATCCTGGAGGAAAGCTTTGCATTTCGATGTTGCAAAGCAAAGCCCGAAGCAGCTGACAGCCAGTGATAATCTGTCCAGCGCGGTTTGACACGTCTGGCAGCTGACAGAGATGTGAGCAATGTCGTCTGCATATTCCAAGTCAAGAAGTCCTTCACCTTGTAGTAGCTCCACACCTTTCAAGTCGTGTCCTAATAATGCAACCTCCATGTCTTCGTCAATAGCGAAGTTGAAGAGGAAAGGTAACAGCGAGCATCCTTGTCTCACACCGCTGGAGATATTGAAGGGCGAAGACAGCTTGCCGTAAGCCCTCACTCTGCCCGTGCTTAGCGTGTATAATGCTCGGATAATATTTACATATTTCTCGGGCACACCTTCCTGAGTAGACAATTCCAAAGGGCACATCGATCAACCGAATCGAATGTACCTTAGATATCGAGAAACAAGACTACAGTGGACCGCCAATATGTGTGATGATGATCCAACAACTTTAGCAAGGTAAAAATGAGTTCGATGCAGCCACGACCCCGACGAAATCCGGCTTGCTCCTCACGAATCTGGCTTTTACGAACGACAGTCAGTCTGTGAAGAATTATGGAGGCGATGGAGATCAGACTGATTCCTCTATGATTGCCGCATTCCGAACGCGAGCCTCCTGTGAAGATGGGAACAATAACAGAGCGGCTCTAGTCGTTTGGGACAGTTTCGTGCTCCCACAGTTTCACAAGTAATTCATGTAAAGCATCAACAAGAGCAGAGCCTCCGAATTTGAAGAGAGCTGGAGGAAGATCATCTGGTCCCGCGGCTTTGTTCAACTTCAACAGTCCGATCTCACGTTCGACTTCTGAGCGAGAGGGTGGATCAAAAGGGACAGCCCACGGAGCAGGGCGATCAGTGGCCGGCGAAGAATCGAACAATTCTAGCAGATTAAATTGCTTTTCAGAATGCTCAGCCCAACGTTCCAAACGTTTTGACAAATTGTGGATAGCCTGTCCACTCGCGTCACGTATAATTGCACTAATACCAGGTCTCCTGCTGACCCTTTCCCGTATCAGACGGAATAACTTACGATGGTTGCCAAGGGCAGCGGCCACTTCCATCTCTGATGCACGATGAGACCACCAAGATTCGCGGTCTCTCTTCAGGCTAGCGCGCAGTTTTGCCCGGAGCTCTCTGCGAGTTTCACTGTGTTCGCTTCCAGCCGGGATATGCCGGCAAGTGTCGATAAGTTCCAGAGACTGTGAAGAGACCCAATAACCATGTTGGCTATTAGACATGCCACACGAGGATTTGCCTGTTGCTACTAAGGTATGGTGAATATGTGACCAGTACCATCAATTTGCATCCAGTGAGCGCTTACTCAACTCGCATGTCAGCGTACTTCGATACGCATTCAGAAAAGCTGGCTTTGTCAGTTGGCTGGTGTCAATGCGCTCACAGCGTCGTCGTGGGCGTCCGCCAAAACGCATCCGCATGTCAGCACATACAAGTGCATGATCGGTGTCCACACATGTGCTCCAAATCGAGCGACAGTTATGGATGCAGCCTCTCCAGCGGCAACTGACAGCAATGTGATCGATCTGCGTCCAAGGCTGGTTTGAGGCTGGTGGGCGCCAAGTCGCCCTCCGGCGGGTGCTGTGTCGGAAGTTAGTGCTCACAAGAAATAAGCGGGCATCTTCACACAAATGAAGTAACCGCTCACCGTTATCATTACGGGAGCCTACACCGTGCTGACCGCCCAAATGCATTGCATCAGTGGACAACTTTCCAACTTGCGCGTTCAGATCCTCCGCCAGCACAACAGTGTCGGTGCTTCTTCTGTGGCGAAGGAGCTCGTTCAATTGGCGGTAGAAGTCGTCTTTTACCGAATCATCGCTACAGTTTGTGGGCGCGTAGGCAGCGATGATGAACAGACACCTATTAGCCCCGCGCGACTTCGAAGCTTTGAACGAGCCAGCCAATCGGACCGCACACAACCGGCCACTGAGTGGAATCCAATCAACCAGAGCAGCTTCAGCCTGGGGACTCAGGGAGATGCGAACACCCGCTTGACCGGTGCGCGAATCTGTATGGCTACATTAATAAGTTTGAAGTTGACCAATTCTGTAGCTAGAGCACCTGTCTAGATGTTCAGAGCCCGATCGTTTACAAAGTAAGTCTTATGGGACCACACATCTGCACATTGACCACCAATGTAAGTCTATATTGACCAGTTGGACTATAAGCCATTTAGAAGTTGACCTCTATCACATGACTATGTGAGGATTTATTGTGGAATGGTCGTTACATGACTTATTGATTCACATGGTAGCGTGTATGTAGCGAGATTGTGCAATGTGCGAAATTCTCCTGACCCATAATCATTGCAATTTACGGCTCCGGAGACGTTTGGCGGTAAAGTATGTTTTCTGTCTGTGTATATGCGTGTATTGATGCTCCGCCCTTGTGTTCATCCGCATGGGCGTTTACCTTGTACCATGTATCCCCACAGATCCAGGTCCACGAATCGACCTTGACCATTGTGTGCGAACCATTTCCCCACATGTCCCCCGTTTGTGAAACCAGTGCCCACTCATTGGATGGTCATTTTGAAGTACTCGTTGTGCGAATGGATTGCGATGCGCAATTTCAATGTGGATCGCGATTCCCATTGAAGTGAACCTTGACCGATTTCACAGCTGGGACCGCAAGTGTGTTTTTCAGCGGCCAATACCAAATATCTATGTTCCTACTTATTGCAAAGGTCGCAATCAGGAGTTTGAGTACCAATCTAACCGTTAATTAACCAGTTCTAAGCTAAGCTGGTCATTTACGTTTGTGACAAGAGAAGCGAGTAAAGATTGCGTTTTTTCAAAGCATGAGTTAAGTTAGAAGAAACCACACCGCGTTTTGATTTATTAAGATAATGTATGAGATATTGTATGACTTTACTATTATGTAGAGTACATGTAATATAAATATTTTATTCTCGAATTCATCGAGGCACACAATATGGGACATGATCAGAAACAGGATGCAAGTTTATATTGTACTGCTTACAAAGGGAAGTAAGGTACACTAAGTTTGTGTATAGACTCCACATGTTCATTTCGTGGTCAACTTACAGAGGTTTTACCGTATTTCTTAACATCTTCACAAATGTAAATAAACGTCCGAGGACATTCGTCATAGAAATTCGCAAAGAGCATTCATGTGGGATGCAACAGGGAAGCAACCAAAATGTATCTTCAGAGAGGCTTTACTTAAGAAATTTTGCAAAGAAGATTCCAAGTACTAATTTCAAAATAGGAAGAAATAACACTTTAACAGCAGAGGCTGAATTCAGACATTTCGAGTATTCTCATCAGCTGTCTACAGGCTAGTTCTATTGTTCAGCATGTGTTCAGATTAATTAGACGACAGAGTAATGCCCGTTTGCTTCAGTTTACCGTAGCCTCAGCTATCCGGTGGCTGAATTTACGGCCAATTGCGCCTTATCAAAGTGAGGGTATCTATCGTTTTTCCTCGGACTGTAGGGCCTCGTACATAGCTTCCTGTATGAAATGCGATAACTTCAGGTGCATGTAAACAGCTGAGGAGAATATAGGAAATACCTGAATTCAGCATATCTTATAAAAACATTACTTGTTATTGCTGTTTCCAAATTTGTGAAGGAAACATTTTGCATGAAAACTGTGTAACCGTTTGCATGATCGAGCAAATATCCGTGGTAATGGTGACAGCTTGAGTAACAGACTCAACGATGGAAGATGGGTAGGCTACCCTGACGAGGATGAAGATGAGTGCTCGGTAATCAGCTTCATCTGCTGAAGAAAGATAAAATTGATGTCCGCAAGGGGAATTGAAGGGGTCCGCTACAAAAGTGCGTGCTGTTAGTTCGGTTCGGCTTCCGGGCTCAAGCTTCTGTTGATCGACCGGGCTTCTGGGGAGGCTTCGACTACAGCTTGCCCCTAACGTAGGTGAGATCATGATGAGGAATGTTGAATACCACCAGTGAATTAAAAAACATTGGCCAATGGCACCAAAAGGAGAAAACATTACCATCTGAATCGTTTAGCAAGATTTACTTACACCTAGGTGTGTATAAATAAATAAAGGGACGCAGCACAGACCAGCTGAATGATATGATGGGTAGAGTGGGTCTCACACAAGTGTAACTAGGAGGATACAGCGAAAACTCCGCTGATTAGCACGAACAGGCATTTTCGTCCAAACAGACGCTGCATATATGCGGAGCTACGGGGTGTGTCGTGGAAGATACATGTGAGAAAAACGAGCATATGATGGAATAAGAGCGAGAATGTAAATCAGAAACGGCTGATGAGTTGGTTAATTGCAGAAACATGAACTTACGGTTTTTTCCGGATACCGTGCAAAAACGCCAGAGAGAAGTATTGCATAAACGACCGCGCTTTCATGATGGTAAGCAAATTGATGCTCTGCTTGAGATAATGTGGCCGAAAATAAACAGTGCCAGGCATAAACTGTTCCGAGATCCGGAGGGAGAAGGTCTGTCAAGGTCACTTCGTCCTTTGATTGGCCGCCCTTTGAGGATCTGCCAGCGAACTTGACAGGCTCGCCACTCAGGAAGGAGATGACATACCGCATTCGATCGAGACAGTGGACTGGATCTTGACGTGTTACCTGAAATACACACAAGACAGTCGTAAACAAGTGTAGTATACATCAATCATGAGAAATTTGCCTTAGGCTTTCAGCAACCCACCCATCGATTTGTGCAACTAATTTTAATCGACTGCCTCTATAACATGCAAGTAGGGAAATGGCCAGCGCAGGCAAGTTAATGCGCACACTTGAACTCAGAATTGCACGAGTTAGAAAATTCGACAACCGACAGATCAGCTGATCGGTAGGATTACAGGAAAAAAACCTAAGGCTTCTACTCATCCTTAGTAGAACAAAACATCAGCAATGAGCTGCTACTATCTCAAAACGGAAAGACTGAAGAATTTAAAATAAAGTAGTATGCGTCCAAGTTGCCGGAAGACCAGAGTTGAGGAGGAAGTAAAAAACTGAGTACACTGCAATGTCTTCAGAAGCGCGAAGAGAAAACTAATATGGTGACATGGGGACAGCGCTCTCATTAGTGCCGGAAACACAAAGTATGCAACAAACACGAGAATGTAAGTGGCATCATCAGGGCGATCTAACGGGAGTGACACTAAGCATTTATGAACGCCAAAAACTGGACAATTTTCTGTGACTAGCACGGCTTCACTAACTGCCAACCGATGTGGAGTCCCGTTGTACAGAAGCACTTAGAACGCGGTTGATGGATTCACGCGATGAGAAGTAGTCACAAATTGCTTCGTGACCGGTCAGGCAGGATCCCGATTCACTAAAGAATGCACTCTGCCTTAATGCATCATTGTCTTAATCAACCTGATAGGCATTCCGTCACGCCTTGAGTCGGTCGACTATTGTGTCAACGTCTGTGTCGACGTAGCTGAAGCTGAAATGCTAGATATCATGAAGCCAAACCACTAGACAGCTGTGAGAAGCTAGCTTTTGTGTGGTGTGGACAGGTCGAAACTAGATGGTTGCGCACTAGACTGACATCTGCGGCAATGGCAAGGATATTTGAAAACAAACCATTTGAAGGAAGTTCCGTGCTCTCCAACGGAGTGGTTAGAACAACCATCCGCAAACCACCGGTGACTTTCAGTAACGACGCGTGCAGTATTCAGGGCCAAACGCCATGTTCGGTACCAAAAGTACAAACCGTCAGAAGTAATACAGAAGCAAAAGTTCAATAAAATTGCATCACGAGGCGTAGATTTCCTAAGGAAAAGTGATGTCAATTGAAATGGAGTTAACACGCGGTACGTGCCATCCACTCTAGGACTTCACGAGCGGGTCAGTGCCCGTTTGAAATCTTTGACGATCGAGCTGAAAATCGAAGCAGTGACTTGTGAAACAAAGAGCGACATAGAGCAAGAATGCGTGTCGCAACTGGCATTCTAAACGAGCCAATAAGGAGTAAGATGCATTAATGCGCGTGGTCAATGAGTGTTAAGGCAAATGATCACTTCGATGAAGAACTAACAAGCGAAACTCGTCCGTGAAAAAGTAACAGAAAGGCATTTCGTTCAAGAATGGTTTTAAGGGGGTAGTGTATCGGATGGAACAGGCATACCATCGAGACCTACGAGGCAGCCGATCAGATGCGAACCGAACGGCCTGGACAACTGGCGGCGCCAAGGTCCGCTAATTGGAAGACACTGCAGGCTTTTAGTTAACTGGGGTTGAGGGAACAATACTGGTGGAACTGCGGCCTTAGTGATGAAACTGGTTGAACGATATACATTAAAATGATGTGTGAACGAGCCATGCGGCATTTTTTGTCGCTTGGTTTTCTCCAACAAGCCCTTTGCCACTGGAGGATCGGGTTTTATGACAGTGTCAGAGAAAGGAAGATGAACCTCGCGAGCAGCAGTTAGATGCTGAATACAGCACTCTCGAATGTTCAACTGCCTGCCAGGCTGAATGGAAATTGGCAAATAATTGGTGTCTCTGAAAAAGCAGAAGGATGTATTTCTGTACATCGGCGCGCTCGGAGGAGTAATCGATGCCGTATGGCTTAGCCATGTTTCAACACGCAGCCGATAGCGACGTTCGACATGTGCTAGAGACAACGTGATTCGACAACGACTATGATGTCACAGAGTTGCAGACGGTTATCGAAAGGTTCAGTGAACTTCAGGAAGGCTAAGCCAGTGAGATCTATGGGCGATTTCTCTTTCCTCGCGAAGCAGAAGCCCAAATGAATCCGCCGACGTATACAACACTGAATTGAAGATTTTGTTCTGGTCCAACGTGACTTGTCGCTCAAACAGCATATCGAGATTATCATCATTGAGTCCTCGACCACATGCCACTCCAAATAAATGTGACTAGCAGCTGACGCAAAATAAAGTGTGAATGCAGAGAACAAAATTGCATTTGGACGCGACTGTGGGGCAGGTCTGCAAATCTCGTTGCGCGCGAAGCCCGAGGAGCTGCGAGCAGTGTCCAGTGTAGGAACGAAAATGTGTTAAATGCGGTAAAAACAATCACAGTGTTCGTTGTTGTCAGTCGGCCAAGGTGAGAGAAATCACCCATGACAAATCAACCGCAGAATCAGAACATTCAACTAACGACCTGCAAGAAAAAGATCACAGGTGTGCGTTTAACCAAGTTTTCCAATCGAAGCCAGAGCCGTACGATTTCTGCTGGACACGTGAGTTACTCATCATCAACATCAACTGCATTACATCAGTCATTTGGACTGGTGCTAAGCTGCCGTACAACCATGGTGATCTACGGAATGAGCAATAAGAGGGAGAAAGGCGACACCTTATGTAAGCAAAAATTCAGGGTCAAGGTGTCTACATTTTGTGTAGACAACATACCGTCATAAACAGCTGGCTATCGTGCAAAGATAAGGTCGCAGCGCCGAGATAGCTTCCTTGCGGCTTTCACTGCCCCAGGTTATAATCAGCCACTATCACGCAGATAACTCAGCATCAAACACATTTTAAACAGGTAGTCCAACTACGATACGACAGCAGAAGCATCACTGGTGCTGACTGTGAGATATTTATTGTAACGCCTGGAGCCAAGCACAAGGCGAGTCACGTGAACTCCAGCCTGGAAGGCGAGACGGACCGACGGCAGTGAGTTCATTTCTCGCTGCCAAGTTAACATTTGTACATGTCAAGGCTTGCGCCATCGGTAAGCGGCGACCAGGTTACGTAATACAGGCCCAAACCAACGCAAGTTATTCGGTGCAATCTGTTGTTCCAAGGAACCAACTTGGTTATCAATGACTAGAACTCACCTACGCACATGATTGGTGCAGATACACTGGTGCCACCCGAGACCAGCAATGCTTTGTAGTCAGCGATAACCAGAGACCTGAAAGTGCTTCAGACGGAAGGGGTCAATTCTCACTTTCATAGGGTAGGACGGCCCACACTGTGGCCTTGTAAACACGGCCTTTCAGACGGAGATAAATTCCTTTCTGTCGCCAAAAATGTCGCAGATTCAAGACAATACTAGCCTTTGCAATATGTGAACTGGCTTCGGTACATATGCGTCCGTCAATGCCGATGTAGCTGCCAAGGTAAGGGAATTGATCAACTAGGTCCAGTTCATCGTCATCGAAGATCAAGGGATCCACAAGCGGCTGGTGGTCCTGTCGCAACATTTTGTACTTTGAAGGTGAGAAGCGCGTGTCAAATGATGGGAAGACTCTAGAAAGGCTATTTAGAGTTGACTGGGACGCCCCAGTGTCGTTAAACAGCAAGACAATAAAGTAAGCATAATCAAGATCAAACACTCACGATGTAGCACCCCAACGCCAGCATCATGAGGATTCGCAAGGGAACATTCCATCATGCAGTCCACGACGAAGTTGAACAAAAATGGGAAAGTGGAAAACCCTGACGAAAGCCACTTATTGTCGGAGGTGCATCCGGCAAATCACCATAGACTCGAAAGTGAACTGTCGTGTTCGAGTAAATGGTACAAAAAATGTTTACATATTTCATGGGAACAATTCTCCGCAAAAGTATATATGTATATATATATATATATATATATATATATATATATATCACATGAACATGGGGTCAGATTTGCAATATCCGATCGTCTCCATGGTCAGATCGTGAGTGAACCAACAGGCATCAGCGCGCGACTGATGACTGCTCGCCTACGACTCGGAAGAGGTAAGTTCGCCATTTTATCAGCACGTACGGTCCGACCATGTGTTATCCTGATGACAGGCATGATCAATTCTACACTCAGCTATCCTCCGTGAAACGGCCTGTGCCGGGGAGCGACTGACTATTTCTGCTAGGTGATTTCAACGCGCGCTTTGGGCGTGATGCATCAGCGTGGACAGATGTTATCGGTTCGCATGGCATTGGTTTAGTGAATGCGAACGGTGCCACTCATGGTCTGACGATCATGAACACACGGTTTGCACTGAGTGCGAGTGATATAGCAACTTGGACGCACCCACGGAGTGGTCACGCTCACCTGCTCGACTATGTCATCGTACGTCAGCGTGATATGCGTGAAGTGCGCATGACACGTGTACTGCGTGGAGCTGAGTGTGGCACTGATCACAAGTTGGTTCGGACCAAACTGTACATATATTTTCGTAAATCGATGTGTTGCACTCCCGCCGTGAATCGGCGAAAAGTTAACATTCTCTCCCTCGGTACTGTGGCGAAACGTACTGAGCTGGAGAAGGCGATGGCTGCACGCCTGTGTGGTGATGTGGACTGCATAGCCACAGTGGACGACCTGTGGCACCACATTCGTGACCAGGTGACAGCTGCTGCCAAGAAGGCTATCGGGCGCGCAAACTGTAAGCGGTCTGATTGGTTTGATGAGAACAATGAGACGATTAGCGTGTCGGAAAAGAATGCAGCATTTGCTGCACATGTGGCAGACCCCGGTGACTTGGGGAAGAAGAGAAATATTGGCAGAATTCGACGACGAATGACTCCAGAGCTCCGTCGCATTAACGATGTATGGTGGACGGAAAAGGCGAAGCAGATGGAATGCTTCGCCAAACGCTGCCAACACAAGGAATTCTTTGACTTCTTGAAGGCATTATATGGAGCGAGGTT